TATATATATATATATATACACATATATATATATACATATATATATATATATATATGTATGTATGTATATATTATGGCATGCCATTCAGGAAATTATGCTTTGAATATGCAGTATGTACAAAAATCCTATATATTCAGACTTTTTGTATATATATATATATTCAAAGAATAATTTCCTGAACGGCATGCCATAATATATACACACACACACACACACATATATAACAAATACATAAACAAATACATAAATAATAATAAATAGTAAGAGTAAGACGAGGTGCATTTGTAAGTGTTTAAGTTTATCCATCCATCCATCCATCCATCCATCCATCCATTTTCATCCGCTTATCCATCGGGTTTCGCCACTAAGCTTATACTTAGAAATATTAAATCTTCTTGAAAGTAATTTTTTTTATAGAAATAGGACAAAATGGTGGACTTCAAACTGCAACATTTAGATTATCAAATTAGTTTAAACTTAAATTTTTTTTTGCATTCACCTTACATACTCAAACACAATAGTCATGCAGCATACAGTTGTATGTAAAAAATACAGAGCTTGAGAAACACGGAAGAGCACACGCAAAGTGAAAGATTGTAAAGCAATTCGTTACAAACGAATTACAACTTTTATAAAGGATAAATAACGTGTTACTCAAACACATACCACTAGTTAGGAATGAAAGTTAAAAAGGTAATAGTTTTACCAAAAGGATGTATCCTAATGTACCCCAACTGAACAGCAGACAAGAGACAGTAGAATTTGCCTTTTAAAAAAACATGTACCTGTTGCTCCCGGACAAGAGGGATTTAGTGCAGGATCCGTCAGTGTAAGAATGTCTGTCTGCTATCTGCTGCTCCTCACACCGGTTTCGGAGAAATGAGGTACGTATAAGGTTTCCTTGACTCCACCCAGCTGCTATAAGGAAGTTATTTCTCAAAAAAGCCTCTGAAAGATCAAGGGCAGGCAACTGGAATTCACCTGTTAGTAATGTACCTGTACTTAGCAGTTGTGCAAGAGACTTCTCTTACAGCTCAAAAAAAATGACTAATTGTGTGTACTGTGAAGTAACAATGAAAAAAAAAATATATAAAAAAATAAAATAACTGGAAATGTTACAACGAAAGACGAGGAAATAATCCAGTTGCTCAAGACACACCGCATTGTAATGGGTCAGCTGACCTGCAGCACAGGTTGTGTGTGTGACGTGACGGGTGGGTAGCTTTTTTTGTCCTCTTTGTCAGATCTAAGAAGGCTTTGCACAATTGAATATTAGACAGTAGAATTTGCCTTTTAAACCTAGAAAAATAGAACCCCCGCAGAATGTCCAATCATTTTATGTGCTCCAGTGATCGCCAGCATTAAGAGCCTTGATCTGTTTTAGGGATAAAACTAATTTTTTTTTTAAATTAAAGCTAAATTATTATTATTATTAATATGAGATCCAAACAGAATGTCCAACTTTCAGTGAACATTGGTATTTGTTTCACAGTTTTTGTAATCTGCGTGACCTCTGGTTTCAGCAGAGAGCCTCTCTGTTTACATACCTCTGGCTGTACAGGGAATGTTAGCTTAATGTTTGTTCTTTTGTTTTTTTTTTTTTGTCCCAGCACCTTTTAAAATTTTGAAAAAAAGTTCATTTTTTCAAAGAGTTCATTGACTTATTGCTCAAGGAGTGGCGCAACAACATCAGCACGTTCAACTATTTTCACACCAAGGATGACAATAGAAAAAGGGTTACTTTAAGATTTGTTCTGTTATTATACAAGAAGAGTGTAAAAACGGTTACATTTAAAATGTGTTACATAACAATTTAATGTGAAATTATCTGTAGACCTTGGTTATATGTAAACTTTATTGTTTCTTATTGGTATAATATAATAATAATCATTTTTATTTCTTCAACAACTTTGTCTAGACATACTTTCATTATTGCAGGCAGCTATTGTAATACCTCTGGCTGTACAGGGAATGTTAGCTTCATGTTTGTTTATTGCTAATACCACCACCACTGCTGCTCTACTGTGGCAAAACCCATGTTTTAAAATAAAAGACGGCACAGTTTTATTATAGGAATTGTGTTAATATACTATATATGTCCTAATGTACAGTTCTTAATACATATCTATTGTTGGGATTATATTTTAAGTTTTTGTAAAATATGTTTTTTTTTTTTTTTTGCTATTTTATAGACTATATTTGTTAACATAAAAGTTCTGGTAATTATACAAAATCTATCTAAAGTTGTCATTTTTTTTAGCATCCCTTACTGTTGTTTTAGGATTTATTTTATAGTGTAGTCTCAGAGGGCAGGAGGAAAATTTACCTTAAACACATCAACAAGACCTTTTTTTTAGATGCAATAATCAAGATAGGGCTATTTCTAAACAGAAATGGTCAAAATTAAAGTAAAAAAATCGGAGATTCCAAGACAGCACAATAAAGCTGTAAAATGTAATACGATGACAATGAGTGTTTTTTTTTTTGGTTAATTATTTATTGATTAAAAATAACATACCCACGAACCTTTCAGATTATACACTACGTGAGTACAATAACAATAAGACAAAAAAAACAACAACATTAATGATTTAAACATCGTTCCATTTATTCCATTCATCATCTACCACGTATTTATTTTCGGGACTCAGTCAGCTTTAGGGTTGGATTATTGTCCTTTATTGTGACAATGTGAGCAAACAACTACGTAAACCCGGCTACCTTTGCCCCGTCTGCTTCTTGAATGGGTCACGTGCCCAGACAGGCCGTCCCCTCAACGTTAGTTGGGCGTTGCTTGCAACGAAGATGAGCCTATGGCTTTAGCAGCGAGGAGTACCTCCCCCTGCAATCCGGTGTTGTCAGTGACGAAACTCAAGCTTTGAACTGAAACAGCAATCTACACAACTATATGATTGTTGCCCGAACGGTGAATTCACTCAGTGAGATAACGGGATTTATCAAGATATCAACTCGAACGAGAACCAGCTCTTGTGAGGTGAGACACGGCTTACATACATTCACAACTAAGTATTTAAACGTAATAATAATAATAATAAATTATGTATTTCCAAGTAAGCGCTGTTTAAAGTTTAACACCCCTAAGTGCACAGATAGAAGATAGCTAGAAAAGTTTAAACACAAAGCATAACAAAGTATAACGTCATCAACACAGTCATACGTGTTGTACATTCGTGGTCACGACTAGCAGTTTAGCATTGCTAAGTATTTAGCTCTTAATTAGAACGTTGTTTAAAAGTGAGGGCCGTATTGAATGTAGAAAATACGCCATACTGCGCCCTCCGGTGATGTCTTTAATTGCCACACAATTATTCAATACAGACCAGTAATTGTATTACGGTACTAAAGTACAACGACTTATTTAAAGCTTGACGTGAAGCATCCAAAATCACTACACACTTAACACTTTCGTCACAATACCATTTTATTTAGAGAAATTATATTTCTAGCAAATATGTCTTTGTGTTTGGGCTAATAAATTATAGACTAATGCAATTTATCTTTTTAATTTACCATTTTAAATCATTTTAAATATATTGGTGAATTTCACTGTACCTCCCAATCCCAAAATGTATAATTTATTAATTAAATTATATTAAGTAGGAGCATGTTACAGAGCTAGATGCACAATAAATCTTCATCTAGTCCAAAGTCCCCCCCCTTTATTCTCTCTTCAGAGTGTTGTCCTCCCAGCTTATCGTGTCTTATCGCAGATCTTATCTCTACTGTTTTAAATCTTGAGCGATAAATGCTTGATGGTAGATGTTCGTTAAGAATCTAACCACCAAACCACATAACAACGACCTTGGAGTTGACTGCTCTTCAAAGTCCTTTCATGCCTTAGTAATACCTGTACTATTCGTAAATACCGTCTTTGACAGTATACTTCTATCTAAATGTATAATTATCTCCCTGTTATGTTTTTTTTTTTGTGTGTGACAGTATTGATTAGATATCATTTGTGCATGCTTTTGTTTTCTTTCTTTAGCACAATGTAACCCATCAACTGTCTGCTAATTTCAGGACATGACACAGTGCTCAGTGAAGCTGTCCGTCCAGCCCTCTAGAGGACTCGTGGATGAGAAGTGGAAAATTGTGCTCCAAAACGCCACACCTAGCTGCAGTGTGACACTTCACGCCCACTGCACGTGCGAAGATGGACACAACTGGGAAGCCTTTGGTCACTACACTTCTGACGCTACTGGAACTGTGGATGGTTTGTTATAAAAGTGACAAAAGTGATAATAATAAAAAATGATTCGTTATTTATATTATTCTATATTTTACACCACCAGATTTTTTAAAAAAAGTGCTTGTATAAATCTGCATAT